CAGGATCCTGACTAACTGGTAACCTGAGGATCCTGACTAACTAGTAACATCAGGATCCTGACTAACTGGTAACATCAGGATCCTGACTTTGTCAATTTTTTTTTCACATTTTGTCTCTCATAGTTGAGGTCTACCTATGATGTCAATTACAGGCCTCTCTCATCTTTTTAAGTGGGAGAACTTGCACAATTGGTGACTGACTAAATACTTATTTTCCCCACTGTATGTGTTGTGAAGGTGTTTCGGGCATGTACCTAAAACTATTTTAATCAAGACATAATTGTCAAACAATGGTTTATAAAAGCATTAAAAAAGAAACTAAGACAAAGGGCGTGGTGTCTTAAATCAGTATCTAACTAATAAATTCCTTCCGTTCTGATGTCTCTTCATCTAAGTGGAGTTGTGTTGTGATTGTGAACACGCATGCATGTCTGGTTTTATTTCTGTGTTGACCCTTCTCTGAACTTCTGACCTGAACATGGTCCCTCCCATCCATGTGATGCTGAACAGGACTAAATGGGTTTGGGAATCAGATGAATGAACAATGACCAGCAGCCGCAGCGAAAACATGGTGTCTCTTTCTGGCAAACGAGGAAAATCCATGTGTGGAGGGAAAAAATAAAAAAACGTTGTTGAGTAGCATACAAAAGAGTCTGTTATGAGCCTCCATATAAAGAACAGAAGATAAAAACAGAACGGGGACTCGCTCATTAATAAGAACAAGCTCATTGTTTTAGCACAGAGCACAGAACAGACTAAAGACAAACGAGGGCAGTGAGAGGTGCCGAGAGTCCAGTCAGAAAAAACCGACTGTTTCTGTATCCACAAAGTAAGATATAATAAAAAGTATAAGAACTGCCTCTGGTTCTGAGCCAACTCAACATTAACTTGTGTCCAGTTTGGGCAGCGTAACTCCAGCATTAACACTTTAAAGTGTCTGTGACGTCACATTTCTAATAAATATAAATGCATTTTTGGACAGATAACATTGTTAAAATATTGCAAAAGAAATTTCATGTCACTGAGATGAAGAGTTGAAATATTTGCTTGTGAACAGGAAGTGATGTCAAAGGGGAGTGTCTGAATGTAAACAGAGCGTTGCTAAAATAACTAACAACTCAGACTGTAGAGAAGAATCTAATATTTCTGTAGATTATTTAGAGTAAAACTTCAAATAACATTGTGTTAATGAAGATAAATAAACCAGAGTTTATTCTCTTAAAGAGTTCCCCTTTGATGTCACTTCCTGTTTCACTTTGGCTGAACCAAGTTCAAGAGAAAATCTGCCAGTTAAGCCGGTAAAACCATGTATTATGCTACGTTTTCTTTTACATTTTGTATTTAAAGGATATGCACATAAACTCAAAGCTTTTTGTGAAACTATTATGTATAGTTTGTGTATATCTTTGTGTATATCTTACACAAATCTTCTTCTTAGTTTTAGATGGTTTGCTTTTATAAAACGTCATCATTTTAAACTGCATCAGAAAACATCATTTTTAATAGTTGCATCTTTTTCCTTCCTTCATTATTTGTATTAAAAGTAAGATAACATCAGCTCTATTCTTTGCCTGCAGCAATAAGAAACATTTATTTTGACATTTATAAAAGTTAAAAATATAGCTGCCCATATTTGTTGTTCAGTGGATTAACTAGATACCTCCTAGTGGTAGCATATATGATCCACGTCTGTACGCAAAGCACCACTGCACCAGAACTCAGCTCACCAGAACAGATTTATTGTTTTGGGTGGGGCTGGGGGGGAGGGTCTCGGTGGTCGGCCTGGTGGACAGCCCTTCATCAGAGCTAAACAACAAAGAAAATCTGAAACTTCTATCTTGAATAATTTTAGCGTTATAAGCATTTTGTATGTCCAGACACCCCCATTTCAGATGGAGCCCCCTCCTCAAATATGGGGTCTATTGTAAAACCGTTGGCTGGCTCAGTGTAGGTCAGACATCTACATTCCTGCCAAATTTCATGCTGATTGGTGCAGCCGTTTCTGTAATATCGTTAATTAAACATCACGTAAAAATAATTTAAAAAAGAATCAGAACGAAAACAATATGACCCCCACTATTTATTTATTTATTTATTTATTTATTTATTTATTTATTTATTTAAGAAAATCAAAGTTCCTCGTGGGACTAAATGTCAAAGAAAATGATTGTATTTACATAATCCCACCACACTTTATGAAGTTTATGATAATGCAATCTTCTGAGAACGAATTGTTTGATAGCTGTAATTTAAAGTTCCCCTTGTTTTTAATACTAAAAGTGATTATGTTAATTTCCTGTCGTTGTGTGTCTGCAGGGACTCTGTGCATTTATGGTTACATGAATGTCAGTGCTGCAGGCCAGATGCCAGTGATGGAGGAGCTTGTCAGTAAGAGGTGAGGATGAATCAACTTTTATGTTTCTAATCATCGAGGTTTTGATGCTGAAAACGCTCACGCTGCACTTTACTCATCATTTATCACAATATGTTCTGTAAACTGTGCATTTACTGACAATTACTGATGACTTGTAAACACATTCAGCTACATTTGCTTCTAGTATTTAACTTTCGTTTATGAGCCGACCTTTAGCTGAGCACAGAGATATGACAGAGTGTTAGGGCCACTTTGAGGATGAAAAAAAAAAGCAAACTTCCACCAAGAAACAGAAATTTTGAGATCAATTTCAGAAATTTTTGAGAGAGAAAAACAGTAACATTCTCTGAGCTCCAAAAGTTGTAAATTTGCAAGAAAAAACTCAGCATTTCTGAGATTAATTTCAGGAATTTTTGAGAAAAAACTCGTTACCGGTAATAATCT